AATAAATGTGTTGAAAATCATATGGATCTTTAATAAATTTTAAATTATAGATTCATTTAATCCCATTCCAATGGCTCCAAAACCTTTCACTGGTACAAATTATGTAAAAGATAAAACTCACCATCTTGTTTTTCACATTTATTGGACATCCATCCATCCATTATCTTTACCCGCTTCTTCCATTTTGGGTCACGGGGGTCGCTGGTGCCCATGTCCAGCAATCACTGTGCGAGGGGCGGGGTACACCCTGGACGGGTCGCAAGTCCATCACAGGGACGCATGGAGACAAACGAGACAAACAACCATTCACTCTCTCACTCACACCTAGGGACAATTTAGAGTTACCAATCAGACTAACATGCATGTTTTTGGTCTGTGGGAGGAAACCGGAGCACCCGGAGAAAACCCACGCATGCACGGAGAGAACATGCAAACTCCACCCAGAAAGGCCCCTGGACCGGGGTTTGAACTAAGGACCTTCTCGCTGAGAGGCAGCAGCTCTACCAGTTGCGCCACCGTGCTGCCATTTATTGGACAAACGGACCTAATTTATTCTGTAAAACAGGATCTGACTAAATTCAGTGTTGTGTTTGTCCAAAAAGTATCCTATGACCAAATCTACCTACCTAACTGTAAACACTGAGAGGCAAAGATGTACTTCACTGCAACGTAGTAACAAGGAACTACATTACTGTGAGACACTAGTGTCATGGAATGGTCACATTTCAAGTTAGTTCAACAGTAAACCTCCAGTTACGAGGCACATGACCATTTTCACAAGCTCATTACAAAAAAAGAAAAATAATTAAATAACACTGTCATGTTATGTACTATCTTTGAAAGAATAATTTAGCATGTTGTTGATATGTGCCATAAATAATCTGTAGCCCTGTTGTTTTGTATGTCAAGGCCATTGTCATCTTGCTTCCTTTTCTCAATGATTATTCTAATTTTCGCAGAATAAACAGCACACTGGTGCCTTATTTGAAGTTAATTAATTTGCAGGTGTACGGAGCAGTCCATCTACACTTTTAATTACATGTCATTAAAGGTATGTTTGTATGCCCAGCTGCCACAAATGTGCATCATAAGAAATAGTTGTCAAGGAAAGTACATAAATAAAACTCGCACTACTGAAGAAACCCTTCAGTAGTGTGAATAAATTGGAGGACCATGGCCCTTTGGCCAATTAACCTTGTGCTTCTCTTACTCCTATGTTTCACTTAGCCTTACCACTCAGCCTAACAATCAAAACCTGCTACAAGTGATCCAACCAGTGAAAACCCTGCTGTGCTGCTATTCTTATTCTCCTCAGCACCACCCAATTAGCGTCATTGTTTTTTTTTTGTTTTTTTTTTTCTTTTTTTCCATTTTATCATTCAAAGAAGATTTTTCATTCTGGAAGTGAATTAAAGCAAATGGAAAAGAACGGATGCTGGGTTTTTTTTTTGTGTGCGTTCCTTTCCCTTTATATTGATATAATTGATTGGCCTCAAATTGGGAGAAAAAAAAAAGGAAAATGAGAAACTTAAACAAACATACCTGTATATGTACCGGAGTGCACGACGTTAAAAGAAGAGTAAAAAAGTTGAAGCAAAAACTAAAATGTTCAGTAAGACTATTTTTAATCAGAAATTGATTAAACTTTATGAGAGACCTTTTACAGATGTATTGCTTTTCCTTCAGAAGTGAATGAAATTACATCAAATGCAAGCAGTCATGCTGTTTTGTGTTTGTTGCTGGTATCTGCCCCATGAATTTCTGTTTGATACTTCAACTAGACATAGCTGTTTGGTGCTAACGCAACAACGCTAACAGATTAAAACACAGGTAATGGAATGCCTTGACCCTAAGACACAGTTGTTGAGCTGTTTGATCAACCTTTCTCCACTTCTTATATGATTCAGGCACCTATGAAGTAAGGTCAGACTGGTCTACTTGGGGGGTCAAAAACAGGTTAACTGAACCTATTCTTGCTCTGATGTGATATATTTTACACACAAATGGGTGGCAGACCTGCCCCTTGACTACAGCATGTTCCTGCTGATGATGAATGATGGATATTTTAAGTAAGGCCAGTAATGCATTTTTGCCATCTTTCCATGTTTGCACCTGTTTCTGTTAACCTACACAGTGAACATACAGGCCGACATGCTATACAAGCAAAGTGCAGGCAGGATTTCCTTCAGCACTAGGTTGGTACACACTAACACCAGTTTTTTTTTTGTTTGTTTTGTTTTTCTCTTCTTTAGAAGTTTCTTGAGGGTAAAGTTTGCTCTAAGCAATGTCCACAGACGGAGCTGGAAATATCACCGAGGCCATCAATGCACCACTGTGTGCGTGAAACAGATTTTTGTTGAAACCATTAATCAGATGGAAAAACCCTGAATGATTACACTGTAATCAGATTAATAATTAAATATTATAAATTTCAGCATCTGTATTAAGATCCAGTCAACACAGACGTTGGAATTTTGTGTGTTTGGAACAAGGTTTCCTTGTTTGTTTGCTCATTTCCTCTTCAGATGCCAGAAAGCATGCACTTGTTTTTTGATTAGCTGGGTGCAATGGGCTTTTGGTGCCTTGGTACACTGCGGTAATTAGGCTGTCAGTCAAATCCAGATGGCCGGTGGCTACAATGAAAAGTTTTCAGATGAGACTTTAGTTTTGCTGCCGTTAGTCCACAAATGATTATGTTATACAAGCATAACATCCAAATGTATATACATTAATCATCAAAGTTCATGCTCTACTGTATAATCCAGGTAAACAAAAAATCCAGCAAAGTTCAGTCAGGTCATCTGGATGATTTTTTTTTACCATCCGTATGACCTGACTGAACTTTGTTGTATATACATTAATCTATTTTGTCCTGATCTGGTATAAAGGTGACCCTGAATGATGACATGGAAGCAGAGTAGGGTTAAAAAAAAAAAAAAAAAAACTAAAGTAAAATAGAAATTCAGGCAGCTATGAAAGGTACATGGAAGGAAAACATAGCAGCCACAAGGTATACAGCAACAATCACATGAATCAACCACAAGAGCACGCAAACTGTAAGTAGGTAACAGTAAGATCTGACACAAAGAGTAAAAGAAATCAGGAGAATGAGTACTGCAGCAAAGATTACCAAGCAAGAAGCAGGTGAGCTGATGAAAATAGACCTAGATGTGGAGGACAACAAGGGGAACTATGGACACAAGTAGAAATCCTGAAACTCAAGGGCTAACCTAACAGCAACAGCAAAACAGAAAAAAAATATTTGTAATACAAAAAAATGAACTACAAAAACATAACATAAAAACACAAACATGACACATTTTATATACGGTTTACATTTTTGTGTCGATCCTCAGCAAACAATATTGTTCCACTAAATACATCAAACTGAAAATGAAACATACGCAAGTATGCATGGTAATGATGTACAATTATTTTCCTTTGTGCATTTTTAAAGTTTGGAACTTTATCCAAAGTCCAATGAAGCTTCTTTGCTAAAAGTCTATATTAAAAGGCACCATTTATTTTCTATCTCTATCCTTGGCAGCTACCCAAGATTTATTTTTATTCTTGAAGTCCACATCAAGAAGATATAGCGTTACTGTATAGGCAATTTCAAGATTTTTATTTATATATTTATTTATTTTACTGAAGTGGCAAGGTAAATGTATATATTTCACATTTGATATTACTAGCTTAAGTTGCATCCCTGTTTAAAAGATCTCTTGGATAAAAGGCTTGGAGTCAAGAAAATAAAAGAGTTTTATGAAAACTCCTCCAATACACTTATTGCAAAATGCAACATTTTTTGTTTTATTAGGCAAAGGACAATTTGGAGATGTTAAGATGTGTATTTATTTATTTATTTATTTATTTATTTATTTTAAAGACCCCCATACATTTTGGGCATGTGGTGGAGTGATCAAGATTTGGACTCGTAGTGCACCAGCAATAAGTAGAACAGTTCACAGTTGGATTTCTTGGTTTCATTTTGCAAACATGAAAAATGCACCATTAAAACATGTAAATAAAAAAAGCAATTTTCCATCACTAAGTGTTTTATTCTTTGTGAAATTGATAATGAAAACTAGTCCAGATATAGGGAAAAAACATATATAAATATTATCCACCCATCCATTAATCTTTACCCACTTATTCCTTTTTGGGTCACAGGGGGGTGGGGGGGGGTGTCACTGGTACCCATATTCAACAGTCACTGTGCAAGAAGTGGGGGACACCCTGGACAGGTCTCCAGTCCTTCACAGGGACACAGAGACAAATGAGACAAACAATCATTCACCCTCTCACTCACACCTAGAGACAATTTAGAGTTACCAATCAGTCTAACATGCATATTTTTGGTCTGTGGGAGAAAACCCATGCATGCACGGAGAAAACATGCAAACTCCACCCAGAAAGACCCCAACTGGGATTTGAACTGGTGACTTTCTCGCTGAGAGGCAACAGCTCTACCAACTGTGCCACCGTGCTGCCAACTTAATATTATTACCTCTTTTATTCAGACAAAATTCCCCAATAATGTGTTCAGGTTTGTTCCAAAACTGTTCTCTGTGATTTTGGTTGGACAGGCTTACAGAACGATATGCACCTCTGTCGTTTTCTTCAACAGGTTGTATTTGAAGGAATTCGAGGCCCAGGTTTCGAAGGAGATATTGCCATCGATGACGTGTCCATCACCATCGGAAAATGCAAACAAGAAAACACTGTAGCCAACGCAGGTAAGACAGGTAAGATGTGACTGATGTGGCACACATACACACGCACACGCAAAAACCGGAGAGGGGTGTTTGTGTGCGTGTGCATGTGTGTAGGTGTGTGTGAGTTTGTGTTAACCTGTAGAGCAATGGTCCACTCTGTGATTTGAAGACCCGACATTCACAAGTAAAGAGTTGAATTGAAATAAGTTGAGCAAAATAATTTCAGCTGTAGATGAATCACTGGATTGTTATGGTGTCAATTTAAAATACAAACAAACAAACAAACAAACATTATCAGTGCTGTGAAGGGGTTTGAGAGAAATAGTCATTACAGAGGCAAAGCACAGAGACAAGTGAACATATAGGGTAGTAGGCTGGAGACGGGTTGAATCATTTGTGGTCCTTCCTCACATCTATTGTCTCATTATCTTCTCTTCTTCCACCGTGTTTTCATCCTCTAACTTTACACTTGACACCCCTGCTGCCTCTCAAGCATTGAGCTTCATTATAATCTGTCTCGTTCTCGTTCTACCCTCTTTGCTCCATCTGCCCTTTAGACGTGCCTCTTAGTCCTAATTTTCAAAAATGCTGTGATGTACTTTTTGCAGTAATAGAGAGATGTCAAAAACACATATTTTGAAAAGTAAGTATTAAATCAAATGTTTAGAACAAAGAAAGTTGTGAACAGATATAAAAGAAAAAAACAACAGTGTGACTAAATGTACAATTTGAAGTATATTTTAGCTGTCAGTTTTAAAATTGTGAACATGGAGAAGGCGCTAATGTACACATCTATATGTATATTAGTACTAAATAAATACTTTCACAATTAGATCACAAACATACAAATAATAAATATTTATATATATGTTTATAATGTCCATGGGAGAAACTCTACTAGAAATAAAAGGTCAGCTTTTAGTGAAACATGTCTATTTTTTTTAAGTGCAAGTGCGATGTAATTAAGTGAGCATGTGTAATATACTTGGTTGTTAGGGTGTTGATAAAAGACAAATAAAGGAAAAAGATTAAATATATATAAAGTGACCAAAATGTAAATGGTCACAAGCCCGGAAACAGGATCACACAAGCACAGATGCACAAAGTTGTAGGCATCATTTAGTAAATATCATCTATCTGCAACTATAGGTTGTCACCATTATTAATGCATGCTGATGCTGTTTTCAACGCTGAAGGACAGTACAGAAACATAGATGTTCCATTCTTTCCCCCATTTTTATTGGTTAATTTGCTAAAACTGATGTGCTTTTATCATAGGAAAAAAATATGTAATTAAGAAAACTATGTAGAATTAACAACAAAGTCCATGCTCAATAATCCAGGTATACAATCCAACATTTTTCAGTCAGGTCTTCTGGACAGTTTCTATTTTTTGTGCAGAAACATTTCGCCTTCGATCCAGAAGGCTTCATCAGTCAAGGAAACACACAACAAAACTGATTCTTCCCCCAACAGCTTACTCCAAAGTGGAACAAACCAGTTCTGCTTGTGATAAGATGGTCTCTTTGGTA